CTCTCTCTCTCTCTCTCTCTCTCTCTCTCTCTCTCTCTCTCTCTCTCTCTCTCTCTCTCTCTCTCTCTCTCTCTCTCTCTCTCTCTCTCTCTCTCTCTCTCTCTCTCTCTCTCTCTCTCTCTCTCTCTCCCCTGACTGACAATAAACTCCCCGCCCAACAAGTTCACCGGCACCAACATCGGCACCACCATCCTCCTCTGCCGCATCCTCCAGGCGTGGCAGGACATTCTGGCCAGCGAGGGCCGCACGGTCAGCGACCGCGCCTTCTGGGGCGCCGTCTACAGCATGGCCGTGGGCGTCAACTTTGGCGCCTTCAGCACCGTCTTTTGCGCCTCCCTGGCCGGCCTGCTGTGGCGCGACATTTTGCTGTCCAAGGGCGTCATCGTGCGCCGCCTCGAGTTCCTGCGCGTCAACGTGCCCATCATCGGCATCGCCACCGCCATCGGCTGCTCCGTGCTCGTGGGCGAGATTTACATTATGCGGACCGACGAGCCGTTCCAGCGGTGAGATGGAATGGGGGGGGTACTGAGGTGTATCGGCCTCAGCGGGTTTTCCACCTAGACTGGTAGTGGGCGAGACTGGGGGGACTAGATTTGGTGGTGTTGTTGTATGATAGAACCAAGAGACAGAAAAGTTATCGAGAGAAAGCAATCAGTTTAAACCGCGGCTAGGCCGCATCGAGAGATTGGCGCGCTGCTCTGAGAGGCCCTGCGTCGCTGCGATGCAATGGCCGGCACCGCGCGCCAGGAAGCCCGAGATGCCGAGGCGCGAGGGGCCGCCGCGCTGCTCCGCCATGCGCGAGACGGCAAACGAGTGCGCCAGCCAGCCGTCCATGTTCCCCGCGATCCGCTGGGATGGAAGTAATGCGTCAGCGGGAGAGGCAGCCCCAGCGTCGTGCCTAGGTTACCTACCTCTTCGGTCCCCATGATCATGGACTTGGCGATGGTGGCGTCGCTCACGTGCGGCCACTCGCGCGAGAGCGACACGTTGACGGACCGGATGCAGAGGCCCTTGTATATGAGCATCAGGCGCGAGTAGTAGGCCTCGGCGGCGGCGGGGGTCGCGGCGGGTGGTGGTGCCGTCGTCGTCGTCGCCCCTGCCCAAGACGCCGCCTCGGGCCCTTGCGCCGCGCGCCGCCGCCGCCGCGGGAGGAGCCACAGCACGCTGCGGCAGGCCTGCATCAGCAGGGCCGCGAGCGCGCCCTCGTCCGACAGGGCGAAGGGGACCCAGGCGCTCCGGAGGACGACGCGCAGGGCCCGGTCGGCATTCTGGCAGCAGACCCGGTCGTACCTGATGGCGTAGTTGACGTCTGTTCCTTTCGTTTTTAGCTTGCTTCCTAGCGGGACATGCAGGTCAACGAACCAGACACGTCGCGAAACTCACAGTGGTCGATCAGGAAAGCCTCCGTGTCGCTGACGGGCCGCGCGAAGCTCCGGAACGGATCCCAGCTCCAGGCCACGTCGTCCAGACGAGTATTCAGCGCTGCGAGACTCTGGACCACCTCGGCCTCTCTCCATGTGGCGGACGCAGAAGCAGCAGCAGCAGCAAGCTCTTCCGCCGCCGCCAAAGGGGCCAAGCCAGCGCCAGGTTCCTCCTGCTCGACACCACCCGCCCCTGCCGCCGCAGCAGCAGCACCACTTGCCTCGGCGCCATATTCCGACGGCGGCCCAGAGGCCTGCTGCGCCCTACCACCAGACGGCGGCGGTGAGGGCCGCCCGCTCTTGCCGGGCTCGGCCCGCAGGACCGCCGCGCGCGTGCGCCCCCGCCTGCCCCGCGCGTGCGCGTCTCTGGCGACGTGCGCGCGGATGCTGCTGAGCGCATGCCGGCTGAGCGCGTCGGCCGGGTGGGCGGCGTTGATGAAGGTCAGACCCCTGCCCCTCCCACGTCTGGCTCTGCTGCTGCTGCTGCTACTGCTGACTGGCGCGGAGCCTCCGCCTTCGCTATCATCCTCCATCGTACGGGGGGGATCCATCCGGTCGGTCCCGGCGTGTGAAAAAGGCGACGCTGGATTTCAAACCCAAGGAACAGCAGGTGGAGGCCACACACGCACGCTTCGTGCAACTTCCCCATTGAGCTCTTGCCCGTCCGCCAGTAACCCGAGAGAAGGGTATGGTATGGCCACGAAAAGGGTGGCCGGACGGCTTATCGAGGCCCCCCTCGTCGAGCATTTGTCAGCTCGCGGTTGTCCGCATTTTCCATTTTCGGAATGGTGCGCCAATCTGCAAATTCCCTTTTGGGAACAACCCATGTAAGCGTGCAAATTCCTATTCCGGTCATTTGGACCCCCCATACGGACTTGGGCCAAGCGAAATGGTCGCTCTGCTCCCATGATACCAGCCGACAACCACCAGTCTCTAGCCTTGCTGACTCCGAGGACGAATGCCATCTGGTCCGAAGATGCCCCCAGAAGGAGCGAGACGCGGCAGGGTGCGGCATTTGTAATCCATCGTAGCAGCGAGCCTTCTGCTGGTGACGAAAGCCCTCAGCGATGATATAAAAACACCTCGGAACATGCAGACCTGCGCTTCTGTTCGACTGGCATCTACCCAAGGCAAAGCTCCAGCATTAGTCTCGGAAATACTTGGTTTTTTTCTTCTCTGAAACCCATCTCGCTCCCAGCATGGGCTCTACCTTCGTCTCACAGGCCCTCGCCATCCCCAAGGGCTCCCTTGTCCTCGTCGCCGGCGCCTCGAGCTACATCGCCACCAGCATCGTCCTGGAGTTCCTCAACAACGGCTATCGCGTCCGCGGCACCGTCCGCAACCGCGCCAAGGCCGCCTACTTCTACGAGGGCGTGTTTGAAAAGTATGCCCAGGACGGGACGCTCGAGCTTGCAGACGTGCCCGACATGGCCGTCCCCGGCGCATACAAGGACGCGGTGAAAGACGTCGCCGCCGTCGTCAACGTGGCCGCCGTCGTCACCATGGATCCGGACCCGGAGAAGGTGATCCCGGCCACCGTGTCCTCCCTGACCGACCTGCTGCGCACCGCCGCGGCCGAACGTTCGGTGAAGCGGTTCGTGCAATGCTCCACCATCGGCACCCTGTACCGGATCGGCACCACGGCCGGCAAGCACGTGACCATAAACCAGGCCTCGTGGAACGACGAGGCCGTCGGGGAGGCCTACAGCCCGCCGCCCCACGGCCCCGAGCACGGCTTCGTCGTGTACCAGGCCAGCAAGGTCCTGGCCGAGAAGGCGGCGTGGAAGTTCGTCGAGGAGGAGAAGCCCGGCTTTGTGTTCAACACGGTGCATCCCGTCACCGTCTTCGGTCCTCTCTACACCAAGTCCCACGCCTCCTCGTCGGCGGGCTGGCTGATGAGTCTCTACGACGGCACGGGAACCCTGCCGGAGAAGCTGAAGCGTGAGAACCACCTTACCCTTCACGTTGAGCCCGGGGCATGCTGCTGACCATTCATTACCACATGACGCCGCCTTGCGCTGCTTTGCCCTTCCTCGATGCCCACAGTCACCCACGTCAACGTCAAGGACGTCGCAGTCGTCCACTACGCCGCCGTCGTTGACCCGGACGTCAAGGGCCAGCGCATCATCACCTCGGTCGAAAAGTACAACTGGAACACGGTCCTCGACAGCCTCCGGCGGTCCTACCCGGACCGCAAGTTCAGGGACGACATCCCCGACGTCGGGGGTCTGCCAAACGAGACCATCGACGCCGACCTGGGGCTCTCGCTGCTGAAGAAGTGGGCGGGCCGCGGCTGGATCCCAATGGACCAGAGCATCCGCGAGACCGTCGAGTCGGTAGTTTGAGGCTGCTTTTTTTTTCTACATGCCATCCCAGGCACGGCCGGTATTAGTCTGCGTGGAGCCACGCAAAACGTCTATATAGCCGCAATGAAATATATAACTTATTGCACAGATCCCACCACGGCGCCCCAGGGCACGTCATGCTGGGAAACGCACCGCTGGAGATGAGCCCTCAGACTGTCTCGTCAGGCCTGGCACTACAGCCCGCGTCTTCTTCCCGCCGAGAGCGCCGTGATGAATTCTCCACAGCGGCATGGCGTAGGGTTTTCTATCCCTAGTATCCTAGGAGAGCTTCTTGTCCATTCTCGAGGCAGCACCCCCAGCGGTCACCTTTGGGCACCTAGAGGCGCTCTGCGCCTTCCCCTCTCCGTCAAAGGATGTCCAAAGCCTCCCGTCGACTAAAAACAGAAAAATGGCTACGATGTCAGTGAAACTTTAGCATGAGTGCCTTGTGGCGCAAGAGGCGTTCGAAACAAGATAATGAACACCAGCAGAGAAATCTACTCGGCTCCAATCCTATACAGATGCTGCTGCTCCGCGGCTTGATTGAGTTTACGGTGGCGTCCGGGGAGGGACCTTGGAGAGTGTGCAGAACGATTAACTTCAAACGCCCCTGGCCTGACGGGTTTGTGAGTTCCGCCGACGTTCTGGCGAGTTGTTCATGACCTGTATATATCTCTTCGCCTCCCTTCCATTCACGCTCATCCTTTCCAAATCCCATCTTCCTTTTGATAAAACATTGTCATATAAACCACTCCCCAATCAAGACATTCCTTATCCACCACAGACACCAAATCACCCACCATGAAGTGCGCCTCCTTCATCGCCGCACTGCTCGCCGCCTGTGCCGCGGCGACCCCCCTGGCCCGGCCCCCCCACTCCGTCCAGGCCCAGGAGACCCCGAGCGGGATCGCCCCGGCCCCCGCCCCGGCCAACGTCTCCTCCACGGACAAGTTCACCATCTTCCGGCGCCCGGGCCGCCTGCCCCCGCCCTTCATCACCCCGGAGAAGGATCTGTCCTCGGCGCACGGCAAGCGGCCGACCCCGGCCGGCAACGGCACCGACGACTCGGCCCCGACCTCGGCCCCGGCCAACTCCACAGCCTCGGCCAACTCCACAACCCCGGCCAACGCCTCCTCCACGGGCAAGTTCACCATCTTCCGGCGCCCGGGCCGCCGGCCCCCGCCCTTCACCACCCCGGAAGAGCGCCTGCCCTCGACGCACGGCAGGGGGTCGTCGACCCCGGCCGACGGTCCCAAGCAGGAGGAGGAGGAGGATGAGGACAAGAAGAGCGTCCTCAAGACCTCGGCCAACACGCCCAGCGGCCTGCCACCCCTGGCGCCCTGGGTCGACAACCCGTCGCTGCTGACGGGCGGCCAGCCCGCCGACATCTACCGCGGGCCCTCGATCCCCAAGAACGTCGACATGCCCCCAGTCAGGCCCGAGGGCGGCCACCTGGGCCCCATCAGCGCCGCGGGCAAGTAGGAACCGCTGGTAGTAGTGATTGACTCTTCGGCTGGGATTGGCGTGAACGGGCTTGTTGTGGCGTTTTTTTCTTCTTCCCCTTTGTTCGACGAGATGCAAGGCCTGAAGCGGACAGAGACGGCGGGCCAGGAAATGAGGAGGATCGCACATCTTCTCCCGACGCTTCAGGCTCCCATATCGGCTTGCTCTGACGATTCATTAATTTTCCTTTGTGTAAATTGTATTTTTCTTTGTTGTCCCCCATGTTTATACCTTCACTTACTGCACAAGATTTTCGTATTGACCTCCACCGTGTTCCCTGCTACAAACGTGATCCCGGCTTGTGTTGCCCGTTCGCAAACATATGCAAAAGTAAGACCTGAAATGGCACAGAGATGCGATCCATCCTACTCTATCTTTGCGTACCGGGCACCACGATTACCAGCATATTTCATAGCCTATAGATACATAGTTCGCACCTAGAGGAGATATCTGTCACATCACAGATGTCAGACCACCTGGCTGAACCCAAGAATTATCTATAAACACTATTACCCTGCTGACATTCCGATTTTTCGTCTTTAGAAAATGGCAGTGCATAATATGGCTGTCCCACGAGGTAGGTGCCGGCCGTCTAGTTTACACTGCGCCACTGACGATCCCTATTTCTAATAAACTCTAGAGTGCATGGTCACCATTCAAGACAGACACCTCGCGGGCACGTTCATGTCATGGTGACGTGAATGTTGGATTTGGGGAGTTGACAGCGGAAGGGATTGGGCCGGCTTGTAGTCTGCGCGACAGGTGACGACGTACCAGAATGTCAAGACCTTTATTTTCAGCTAGGTTGGAAGAGCAGTTCCTTCTCGCGCCTACAGTCCTATACGACCTTTATAGTAGCCTTGAAGCCCTCGCGTATCCTGCGAATGGCCACCGTCACATGACATTGGCTTGGTCCGAGTAATTGGACACCGGTGATGGCATCTGGGAAGCTCTTGAGCAGCTTTGCGGGCTCCTGGCGACAAATAACCTCGGATGACAAGACGCTCTGGTTTGGCGTGTCGGCATTCAGGACAACTTCAGCCTTCAATCTGTTCGGGGTTGGATCGAGGGTGGCTTGGAACGCGTAGATGGCTGCGCCGCGTACTGTGTGGAATTTGAAAGTTGCTGAAGAAGGAGTTTGGTGCGCCTCCTCGTGGGCTTCCCGAGATTTGTACATGGCCGTCGTTGAGCCAAGCTCCCAGTTGTCCTTGTCGCGCTGGGCTGGCCAGAATCCTGCGAGCTTAAACTCGCCACAGCAGGAGAAATCGACCAATATGTTTTTGGGGGGCCTTCCAAACGGTCTTGTCCAGTCGCTCGATGGGTCCCAAGCCTCCGAGGTGTCAAGGACGATATGCTGCTCGGCAACGCCGTCCACGTCCTTGGGGCCGAGGGCCACAAAGGCCGGACCGCCAGAGAGGATGGAGCCCGAGCTCTTGAAGAAAATGCTGTTCTCGTGCTTGGACAAGGATATGGCGACTATGGATTCCCCGTGGTGCAGCTTGCAGCTGAGGATGGCCAGGTGGTCTGGTTGCAATCGGGCGTTGGTCGTAAAAAGCTGCGTTCGGCGCGCCGGATTCATGGATTCAGTACTCAGGACGCGCGTGCGCAGCTCGACGCCCCTGTTGGTACTCCCGACACGCCCGTAGCCGAACCCGCGCTCGATGGAGCCCGAGGCCTTGAAGTCGTCTGGGCTGCGAGCCAAGACTTCGTGGCCGGCATGGGCCAGGATACTGTCGTCGCCCCATCGGGCGCCTTCCTTGAGCAGCTCCGTCTGCATACGCCGGAATGCCTTTACGGCCCCTTCGCCGTAGATTGGGGGCATGGCCACGCCAAGCAGGCCCAGCAGAGAGTAAGCCCTGTCCTCGGGCCGGGTGGTTTCCCGGCCGGCAGCCCACGACAGTTGCTGGGCGAGGCTAAATTCGGACAGGCGGCCCTCCTCGAAGAGGGTCGTGTGGATCTTGGTGCTGGACGCGATGGCGTCCTTGAGCCCTAGACGTGAGCCTATCTCGGCCCATGACGCCGTGTAGAACCAGACAAACGGGGGAGCGATGAGCTCCTGGAGAGTCCAGCCACGGGTGAACCAGCACGATCTCTGGAAGGTGCCGGCCGGATCATCGGGGTCGTGGGTGACATGGACGTCTTCAAGGTAGGCGTAGCACACATCACTGTTCTGGTACCAGCGAAACATGGAGTTGATGGCCTCGGAAAGCTCTGCCGAGTCTGACTTGTCGATGCAGCAAGTGTCACTCCACTGCCCATGTTGTCAGATAATAGACTCGAGGAACGGAGCCTCAGCACTGTGACCCCTGGGTAGGGGTGGTGCGTACGCCATACTCGTAGCCGTCCTCGGCAGCCTTGTGGCAAAAAGAGGCCAGCTTGGCGAATCCTGCACGGTCTCGAAATGTGCCGTTTTGGACGTCGCCAAAGAGCACCTCGTCGGGGCCCCAGACATGGGAGAGGATCGCGTATGGCGGCACCTGCTCGCCCCCGAACCAGTGAAGGCTCAGGTCGGAAACACGAATCAGACGCATGGTCTGGGAAGCGGATTAAGTTCCGGGATGACATTGACAGAAATACGGGAAAACGAGGCGTCGGATGCGAGGCCGTGATGCTGCCCAAGTGCGGGGATAAATTTGGCAGTCTCATAGCGCGCACTGCGCGCCAGGCACCGCCGATTGGATACATGGATGGTTGGCCAATGTGGTGCCGATCTTAGCGCACCACTTACCACTGAGAGTTTACTGCCCCTGGAGGGCACATATGAATGGCACAGATGGATCCGTCCGTGGGTGCATTCTGCCAGATCTTGCTTGTGCACAAACGGTTGTGACGATCCAGATCGTGACACGACTTTGACCTCGATCGTTGGGTTCTTTGGAACCCACAAAGCACAAAGTTCAGGAAGTGGGATGGATGGAGGGGAGCAGGTGAAACTTTGACGGGCGGACCCGCGCCCGCGCCAAACTCACGAGTGTGGCGACGACGTCGATTAAAGTCGCGTCGGCGGAACCCCTGCTCATCGGCGCGGTGCCCCACTGCCATTTGCCTGGCTCGCCACACCTGATACGCGCGCAGCCTGGCTTATAATTGCGCGCCCAACAGGCGGCGGCAAGGAAATATCGCGAACTTGGCGAGCGAGGCGCGAAAACTGATGCTGGCGCGAATGGCAAAACCATGCCGGGCTTGAGACCAACATACAGTGTGGCTGTATGCATGTATCAGATGCGATATGCATCACCTAAATCAACCCGCCTTCCAGATGTCTGGGAATAATCCGCACAATGATGGATAGCAAAAATGGCAGGGTGACATGCCGCACAAAAAAAGGTGTGGGAGACAAAAACTGACAACGCCCACGTCCCACTGGAGAGGGGAAGGGTTGAGGCGTTCCAGCCCGCCAAGGTTCCAGTCCACCAAGCCTGGCCTGCCCGCGGTCCAAGAAGTGCCTGCTTCGGAAGCTCTCCCGACTAGACGATGGATCGCACAAGTGACACAGTAGCGAAGAGCTATCTCATCACACCAGAATTTTCGAATCACAGGCGCCGTCACCCGCAGGAGCGAGCAAAACGAACCCCGGAAACATGGAGGGGAGCAATGGAGGGAGCATGCATGTACTGTAGTTGCAGCTCAGCTTTAGCAACAGAGGGGTCCGAGCAACCCCTTTTTCATTCCCCTCTCGAACCCCTGTCGCCCGCTTGCCAGGCCCTGCTTCCGCGACAGGGATTGACAGCCCCCCTCAGGTTCCAATGCACCGGAACTGCGCCGCTTGCTTTGGAAGCCGCAAGCCTCGGCGCGGGCGATTGGCTCGTTCAGCAAACAAGGAAGGCCCCGTCTGCAGGGCGGCCCACACACACATTTCTGGCCCGTCACGTCCCAATCGGGCAGAGAGCCCTGCAGGTCCGACAGGGCGCAGAGGCGGGAATGCGGGAATGCAGCGAACGGCGCGTGGGGGAGCGACCTCCTTGCATAACCTGTCGGCTGCACAACCCCATCAGCTCTCGCGAGAGCTAGAGCTTCAGCGAGCGGGGACGCGAGGACGCGGCGGTTTTGGTGGCAACGGCCATGCGGTTCGGGATTGGATAGCGGCAGATTGGCAACAGATATAGTCCACAGGCGGCGTAAAAGCAGCTAGAGCCGGTCAGAGACTAGAACAAGCGGGGGGAAAATGAGGATGGAACGGTGTGACCTCCCCCGGCATTTCAGCTGTGAGACAAGGATGGATGCGGACATTGGTCGTGACTTGGTCGAGGCATTCATGTCGTGGACTCGTTGTTGTGATGTGATGAGCTGCCTGCGCCTTTACTGTGTAGATAAGCGCAGACAAACATGGGCTCATGGGATGGACTCGTGGGTAGCTATCAAACGGACCTCGTCATCTCGTTTTTGTCGACGCGGGCCACCGAATGGCAGATTTGGAGGACCAGACCTGCCAGGAACAACCAGGCCCGCACCCACTGAGTGGCGCCCGACCCACGACGTTTGGGGCATCGTGTGAGGGCAAGGGGCGCGTTTGACGGCGAACGGCTTTGCGACAAACACAAACCATCACCACGGCGCATGCTGCCGCTCTTCTCTTCCTCCCTCCCACCTTTGCCCTGGCCCAGCCGCCTCTCGAATCTCACCTCACCGTGACTACAGCCTGGTCCGGCTCCATCAGCCTGCGCCGACACCGCCAGCCTTTGCCAGCCTTTACGACTCTCCTTGCCCTGTCGACCAACTACGCGATCCGCTCGAGCGACATTTGAACCTTGGGACTTTTTATGCAGCTCCAGGGGGCCGCAGCTCCCTTGTGCGACGGCGGACAGGGCCCAGACACTGCTGCCGGTCGACGACGGTCGAGGACCAGTCGCTTTGCAGCTTGATAACAAGTCCCAAAAGGCCAAAAGTCGTCTTTTTCAGCTCTCCCGATTGTCTCTTTCTTCCTCCCATTTTCCTGATCCTGGTCGCGCGAACGGATTGCCAAAAGAAGCTGCTGGCCGAGGCATCAAACCCGGCACAGGCACAGCCTACGAAGCACGGGCAGGGAAAGCCAATCTGGGCACCTCGCAAGCAGCAAATCAAGGTCCGCGCGCAAAGGCGGAGCCATTGAATTCAATTCACAGCAGCGCAGGCGCATCCCATCACCACACAGGGCTCTCACCACCACCCACACCGTCTCCAGAACACCCCGACCTACCACACCCACCTACCACGAGGCACACGCTCTGGCGCTCTGGGCGAACTGCCGGCAACCACGCCAATCGCCGACTCGAATTGCTGTGCGCGGCCGACTCATCCCGCCCACAGCCCGACGCGTCCGACCAAGTCCTTGGCCTTTCCAATACGACGCCGGCACCTTTGCCCGTCTGCGCTTTGCTCCTGACTTGGCTTTTTCTCACTCTCGCGCACCTCGCCTTTCTGTCCTGTCCTCTCTGCCAATTGCATCGTCGAGGCAAGACGCCGGCAGCAAAATCAGCACTGGCAGGGACACGGCTGAAGCTGGAACCCTAGACGATACTCTGCAATAAGATACCCATTAAGTGTCCAAAGCGCAGGCAAAACCACCGCACTGGACCATCTCCTCGAACCACACCCGAGCCACGGCCAACATCATTGCCATCTGACTGGGCCTGCCCGCAAGCTTCCCGATTCAGGCTCTGGCTCTTGCTTTTCTGAAATCTTTCTTTTCTGCTCAGCTCTATAGCACTCTCCCTGGCCAGCAGAGTCATTGCTTCCCCGTTTGCCCTCAATACCCCCTGTGTCAGCAAGCAAACACCCCAGCTGAACATCTGACCCTCTCCCCGGCATCACTCTCCCCACACCACTCAGAGGCCAGGACACTCAGAGGCCAGGACGCTAGCGTCCCGACAGGCGAGGGCAAACGCCGCGCACGTTGCTTTTTGGATGGCTGGGCTGGCCGAGACACTGTGATACACCCCGCCGGGTGGTTGCGTCGGCTCCGGTACGGTGCAGCGTTCGTACTGGACTGGTGGCCCCCTGCAAACAAAGACTTGCACACAACCTTTTCGCGCTGTTTGCCCGACCTCTCCCACCATGGACAGTCTCACACAAGGAGCGTACTCGCACAACGCGAGGGACCGCTCCCGCCACTCTTTGCCACACCCCGGTGCCCCGGTTCAGCTACCACGAGCCCCTTCTCGCGCTAGCAACAGCACCTCAAATACACGCGCCTCCCCAAGCGCCAACAGCTCGTCCAGCAACCTCGCCAAGTCGGTGGCATCGACGACGTACCCGTACCGGTCCCAACAGTACCACAGCCGCGGCTCCATCGCAAGCGAACGCGACCGCCCGAGATCGTCGAGACTTTCGAGAGAGGCCACCAACGAGTACGACACACGACTGGCAGTGTCGGTCGCGTCTAGCTACCTGCAGGAAAAGCTGCAGCGAGAGAGGAGATTCGAGAGTGGGCGGTCGTCAGCAAGTCGGACTAGTAGTGACGCGATGAGCGCAACCGCCGAGGTCAGAGCCGTCCAAAGCTCGCCCGTTCGGGCGTCGACATCGGATGGGCGACGCCCGCGATCGAGTGGCGGGGACGCCGCAAAGAAGAAGGCCATGGGGCTCATGGAGATGGAACAGGTATGTTCATCCAATGATGAGTCCGCGTCCCAACTTCCTGCTTACAACCTGCCTAGACCATCACCAAGATGCACAAGGTGAACTTCGATCTCAAATTCGAGCTGTACCATCGCCGCGAGCGGCAAACGGAGCTCGAGAGCAGCCTCGAGTCTCTCAAGACGGAACGGAGCGAGCTCGAGGACCTGAACGACAGTCTGATGCAGGAGCTCGAGAAGAGAGACAAGGCCATAGAGGAAGCCGTCGCCATGATCGTAACGCTCGAAGCCAGTGCCGAAAAGCTGCAGAAGGAGAACGATATTCTCAGGGCCGTAAGGGCCGACCCACTTGGTCGGCAGTCGATGGATATGCCCTCCCCGAAAACGCCACGGCCTGAGGATGCGCCAAGCCAATACTCTCACCTGAACCCTCACGACAGGACTTTGAACAGGATGCCGAGCTTCTTCAGTGAAATCAGCGAGAACACGGAGAACCTGCGAAACGTTTACCTGGAGAACACCGGAAGCCTCCGGCGGGTTTCGGACCCAATGCGAGATGACGAGATGGGCAATCATAAGTTGATGTCTGCGCCGAGTCTCAGCGTTCTGAGCGAGAGTTCCTTCGTCAGCGTCTATGGCCACAAGAGTATGCTCCACAGCTCATCGTCACCACCACCACGATCGGACCCGGCAGACGGAAATGAGGCTTCGGCGCAGAAGAGACAACAATCGCCAAACCCCCTGATGACTCCCGCTCCTCAAAAGAACCGTCGGGGAAGCGCTTCGTCTAGGAAGTATCCGTCGGGCGCCTTCACGTCGATCAACGATGTCCTGGACGCCTCACCCCTGCAGAAACTTCAGAGAAGTCTGCAGATGGACGGCAATCAGTCATACCTGAATGACATTGGAGCCACTAACAGCGGCACACCCACCAGTCTCCGGATCGAGACTGGTACCCCGCAGAACTCAACGCTATCCCCCGAGCAGCAGCAACGAGCGCATCAGCGTCTCAGGCAGGAGAAGAGGGAGGCGCTGCGCAAGGTGATGACGGACGGTCCCCGGGATCTTGGCAGCAACCTGCCACCCACACCCGACACCATTTCCACCTCGACACTGCGACGGTTCAAGAATTCGAACGATGCGCTGCCCCATCACCAGCATCCGGGAGGCGCCTCCCTCGACCGCAGCTTCGGGGCCTCGTCCGAGGGATCGACTTCGAGGTCGGTAAGTGCCGAGACAGCGTCGGCCGAGCAAACAGGACGCCGGGTGTCGCGCACACCGTCGACGTCGGCATTCCACGGAAGAAGACAGGGTCCTCGGGACTCGGGTGCCTACTTCGAGAACCGGCAACCCATCCCAAGACCGCGTTCCGCAGACGAGACGACTAGCTCTCGCGGCGGTAGAGAAGCCAATGGTTGGGGGCCTGACAGCTCTGACGACGAGTTTGACGACGGCGCCTCCGTCTCCTCGACCGACTGCTGGATGCGGGAGGGACTCAAACCCAACCGCCGATTCCCCAACAACGGGGCGATCCTGGCGGGCGAGGAAGCGCTTGATTCGCCCGATCTCTTCAGCTTCCCCGCCCAAGCGGGTGGCTCCGGCGGGTGGGCCACCGGGGCCATGTTTGGAGACCTGGGCGGGGCCGGTTATTTCGGCTCTGGACCTGCGCCCACAGCCAACGCTCTGGACGCTCTCGGTGCGTCGCTCCCCGCTCCGCAAGCAGGTATTTTCGGTTCCGGCTTGGCGTCTCCTGGCCCCGCCGGCTCCGTACCGCCACCCCCCAGGCGCTCCAGCCTTCATGCCCACACCAGCTCGACCGGCACCGCGAGCATGCCGCCGTCGAACCGCGCGGCGCCACCGGCCAAGCTGCGCAAGTCGCCCATGCGCCCGGGATCTCGTGGACGTAGTAACAGCGTCGACGTCGACTCGGAGCAGCCGCCGACCCCGACTCTCGCTGCCACGCCCACAACGGCCGTGCCGGGAGAGCCATCCAAGAGGCACTACCCACCAATTGCTGGCCAACAGCAGCCTCCACGTCGCTCCGGTGGACTACATGCTCTATTTCGACGATCGATTGGGTCCAGTGCCGACATGCCCCCGCAGCCGCCTGCAAGCGCCCCGCCCCCGGAGACGGGGTTCAAGAGCGCATACCCACCGCCCCCGCCACAGCAGTCGCCCACAAGCGGATCCGCCGTGGGCATCCCCTCGTGGAGCCGTCGGGGCGACGAACTGTCGAGCTCGACGCCGCCGCCCATCCTCCGTAACCCCCGCGTGCGACGCAGCACCATGCACGCCGACGTCGGGGCCGGCGAGGGATACGAGGACCATCAAGGCGGCGCGCCACTGTCGCCCGCGTTCCCGAGCCCAGGCGGACGCCTGTCGGGCACCAACGTCGCAAACGTTCAGGCCGAGGAGCAACAGCAGCCCTCGCCGGGCGGGCGCAAGCGAGGCTGGCTCGGCCTGGGCAGAGTCACGAGCCTGCGCAAACACGGCGGCTAGAAGCCGAGCGTCGAGCCAGTACCCGAGGCCTCGGTGATTCAACCGCGAGTCGGGCTGAGAAAGGCCGTGTCGATGAGGTTGAGCAGTCTCCGAACGATATAAACAAGGCCAGGCTGCGGGTTGCGCAATCTCTGCATCACTAGTCTGCAGGAACAAACAGTACCGCAGACATGTTCTCAACAACCGGGAAAAGCGAGCGTAAATGTCGTTTTGTACCACTCTTGTTTAAACATTCGGTTGGCGCAGTTTGATGACGTCAGCCAACCAGAGAAGAATAAAAAAAAGTAGGGAAAAAATAAGATAAAAAAAGGAGGGAGAAAGGAAAGGCGACGGGAGATGCCCGCAAAGTTTGGTCGCCAATTGCTTGAGTTGGAGCGAAGCACACATTTTTCCTATGTAAATTCAATGTACCTACCTCGGTTGGCTTTCTTCGTGCTTGGGCTAAATTTAAACACGCCAGCAGGCAACGTTGCCTTTTTATTCTTTCCGTGTTGCTGTCGTCCCTTGAGCCGTGTTCAACTTTGACCTCCTAATTCATGATGTCACCCACTGCCATGGTGAACAGGTGGGGCAATCCATTGCTGTGCTCTGCCCGATGACAACGCCGGAGCCTCTGCCCGCAGGAGTCTGTTTTTGGACTAGTCAGGGGTAAACGCGCCTGGTGCGCGGCCAAGCAGCCCCTAAGATCGACAAGGCGCAGTGCGGAATGTGAAGCCGGGACCGCGATGGAACCCGCAGCAAAAACCAAAAACCCACCCACCAGGCACAACGACATGGCGGGAAATCGTCACGACACACGACCACCTCAACCACCGCAGCGGCACGACGCAGGGCCCGCCGCCCCGTCTGCCGCCCCGTCTGCCGCGCCAGATGGCAACATGGACGACGTCGCCCAGGCCTGCAGGCGCGGCCTGAGCCTCCTCTCGGACCTCGCCGCCGAGGCCGTCGCCGCTCGGCCGGCCGTGGTCGGCGGGCCCGTCGAGAGGGCGAGGGCGAGGCTGCGGCGCTTGACCGCCGTTGGCGACGCGCTGGAGTCGTTGCCCGCCGCGGCCGAGTCTTTGGCGGCGCTCTTGGAGCTCTGCGAGACGGTGGGAATGTCGGGCGCGATGCTGGTGTCTGCTTCAGGGGCGGTATCCGGCAGGGAATGCGTTGTGCCTGTGCCTGTGCCTGTGTCTGTGCGTGAGGCGTCCTTGCGTCGCCGGAAAACACGGGCGGATGGAATTTTGGTTACATCTACGCGCCCGGAGCGGGAGCGGGAGAAGGTCGTAGCGGCCGTGTCTGACGCGGTGGCAGAATTGCGTGCCGTTGTGGGCGCCTTTTCCGGCGTCGAGTTCATGCCCCTGTCAACCGCCGTCACCATCCAGTCCCTGCTAGGTCGTCTGTCGGAGCTGGCGACTGCGATGGGCCATCTCGCCGGCGGAGCTGCAGTTGTGAGCACCCATCCACCCCAGACCCGACAGAAATCCTGTGGGACGGCTGACATATCCCCCTTCCGCTGGCACTTCGCCCTCGCCATCGAGACGGCAAAGCAGCTCCTCTCTCCCAGCACGCCCCATCCACGCACCACCGACGGCTACATCCCCCGCGCGCCGTCGTCGTCCCTCGCCGCCTTGGCCCTGCAGGTCCAGCACGTGCACCACCCATTCCAAGCCCTCGGCGCCCCGCCCCCCACCACCTGCCGCTCCGCACCCGACAGCGCCCTGAGCGTCGGGACGCTCCGCCTCTGGACGGACTGCAAGGCGGTCACCCTCGCCGGCGGCTGCTGCGGCGGGTACCGATCGACGGCGCTGCTGCTCGCGGCCGCGCTCCTCCTCAACCACGCGCGCCGCGTGCTGCTGCCGTGGCTCGGCGCCTACGTCCACGCGCACCCGGTCGAGTCGCTGCGCGTCGCGCGCTCGCGGCCCGACCTGCTCGTCGAGGAGACGCTGGCCGCCACGGACGGCGCGGCCGTGGCCTTTATGTACTGCCAGCGCGCCGCCTTTGACGCCGCGGGCGCCTTCCTGATGGCCCGGTACCGCAGGACCGGTGCTAGTGCTGCGGCCGCTGCGAGCAATAACAACAACAACAACAACAACAACAACAACAACAACAACAGCGTCCTCCGTCTCCAGTTGCTGCTGCAAGGCCTCGCCTTTTGCCTCTGGACGCTCGCGACGGCAGAGTACCTCTTCTGCCGCCTCGCCCACGCCGCCGCCCTCGTCCTCGCCTACTACAACCTCTTCTTCTCCCGCCCGCCCCGCGTCCGCGCCTCGCTCCTGCGCGCCGTCGTGGCATCGGCGTCCCCGCCCCGCCTGGCGTGGCACGCCGTCGAGCTGTACTGCGGCGTCGCCGGCGGGCTGCTGCCGCTGGCGTGGGCCGCCGTGTCGCGGCCGCGG